ATGGCTTGAGACTGAGAGTAGAAGTTGCAGTGAGCTAACATTGCGCCACTGTGCTCCAGCCTGGGCAAAACAGTGAGACCTAGTCTCAAAATAAAATAAAATGCATGAAAACTAGATGACTCAAAGTATGAAAATCATATATATACATATATATATGTATGTCAACAAAATAATGAAACCTACACACACAAAAAACCAGATGTTAATACAAAGATTTGTCATTTTCCCCAGATTTTCAAAATGGAAAAGCTGTTCAAAATATATACATTTGTGTGTGTATATATGTATGTATATGTATATGTGTGTGTGTATATTGTGTGTGTGGGTGTTTACATATATAAAGGCTTTAAAAATATAAAAAGTAGCAAATTTTGTTGACCTGAAGAGGAATCTCATCTTGCTGGAAAAGGACACTTTGGCAGTTGGGGGCAGGGGGGAATCTTGTGGGATCTAAGAAAACAGGAAATGCTTCATCCTAGAGGAAGCAATCACCCTTTCAACTGCCTGACCTGGAGGAATCCTCGGACATCTGTAGGAATGCAGGCGTGCGCAGAGGCAGCCACTACGGCACTCTTTATACAGAGAAAAATTGCAAAGAACCCACTTATCATTCAGCCAATTTCCAATGCAGATGGCAAAGAGCAAGCTCTCCACGTTTACTAACAAGACAACATGTAAATGTTCACAACCAGCAGGATCAAGTCTCAAAGTAAAATATTTCCTAGAACATAAAGAAGAAAACAACAGACACTGGGATCTACTTGAGGGTGGAGGGTGGGAGGAAGGAGATGAGCAGAAATAATAATTATAGGGGGCCAGACGCGGTGGCTCACGCCTGTAATCCCACCACTTTGGGAGGCCGAGGCAGGTGGATCACCTGTCAGGGGTTCAAGATCAGCCTGGCCAACATGGTGAAACCCTGTCTCTACTGAAACTACAAAAATTAGCAAGGCGTGGTAGCAGGCCTCTGTAATTTCAGCTACTCGGGAAGCTGAGGCAGAAGAATTGCTTGGACCTGGGAGGCAGAGGTTGCAGCGAGTTCACATCATGCCATTATACTCCAGCCTGGGCAACAAGAGCAAAACTCAGTCTCAAACAAATAAATAGATAAAAAATAACTATTGGGTAAGGGGCTTAACACCAGAGTGATGAAATAATCTGCACAACAAACCCCAATGACACTCGTTTACCTGTGGAACAAACCCTCACGTGTAGCCCCAAATCTAAAGTGAAAACAGAAATATAAAAACTTCTTTATTTTTTTGAGACGAGTCTTGCTCTGTGCCCAGGATGCAGTGCAGTTACACAATCTCAGCTCACTGCAACCTCCGCCTCCCAGGTTCAAGGGATTCTCTTGCCTCAGCTTCCTGAGTAGCTTGGATTACAGGCATATGCCATCACACCCAGCTAATTTTTGTAAAAAGATTTTTCTTTTTTTAATTTACTGCAGACCTTTTTCTAAAGTCTCATAATGATGCAGAAATACACAAGTACGAGACTTGCTCTGACAGCTGACACGGAACTGACAGTAGCGGCTCCCCAGTGAGGCTGGAAGGAGGGTGGAGGATGTGACAGGGAGCGGAGATGCCTTATGGCCAAGGGTCTAAGCTGCAGCTTTGCTTGGTGTTTTAGCACAAAATAAATACATTCACCATGTGATGTTTAAATATAAAAATATATATTTAATAATATTGTTGGGGCTGGGCACAGTGGCTTGCACCTGTAAACCCAGCCCTCCAGGAGGCTGAGGTGGGCAGATCACCTGAGGTGAGTAGTTTGAGACCAGCCTGGCCAACATGGTGATACCCGTCACTAATAAAAATATAACAAAATTAGCTGGGCATGGTGACACGTGCCTGTAATCCCAGCTACACGGGAGGCTGAGGCATGAGAATTACTTGGACCCGGAAGATGGAGGTTGCTTTGAGCCAAGATCATGCCACTGCACTTCAGCCTGGGCAACAGAGCAAGACTTCATATATTCGAAATATAATATTATCATAATATAATAATAATGATAATAATAAAAATTATCACCATTGTTACTGAAAACACCTGTTTTACAAGCCCCTCCACAGTAACACCACAGTCTCCATGAGCTTAATGTGCTAAGAATGGTTTAATGAATCTCCTGCTTTTAGGCTGATTTCATATTCTTAAAATAATGATGGAATAAAACATCATCTATCATTCATGTCTATGTATGAACTTTCCATTCTAATTAGTAAGATTTTTGGAGTCAGAAACACAGCAACTCACTCAATTACCTAAAAATGTAGTATAAAATCAGGCAGAAACATTTCTCCATATTGGTCACCTTTTCTAGAATTTACCACATATTTTGTGCATATTAATACATGACTTCTGTTGCGAGAAGTCAGGGATCCCGAATGGAGGGACCGACTGGCTGAAGCTGCGGCAGAAGAACATGAATTGTGAAGATTTCATGGACATTTATTAGTTCCCCAAATTAATACTTTTATAATTTCTTACACCTGTCTTTACTGCAATCTCTGAACATAAACTGTGAAGATTTCATGGACATTTATCACTTCCCCAGCCAATACTCTTGTGATTTCCTATGCCTGTCTTTACTTTAATCTCTTTAATCCCATCATCTTCATAATCTGAGGATGTATGTTGCTTCAGGACCCTGTGATGATTGAGTTAACTACACTAATTGTTCCTAAACCATTTGTGTTTAAACAATATAAAATCTGGGCACGTTGAAAAGAAATCAGGATAATAGCGATGTTCAGGGAACAAGGGAGATAACCATTAGGTCTGAATGCCTGAAAGCCGGGTGGAACAGAGCCATATTTCTCTTCTTTCAAAAGCAAATAGGAGAAATATCGCTGAATTCTTTTGCTCAGTAAGGAACAGCTCTGAGAAAGAGAATGCGTTCCTAGGGGTAGGCCTCTAAAATGGCCGCTGTAGGAATGTCTGTCTTTTACGGTTGCAGATAAGGGATGAAGTAAACCCCAGTCACCCGTCGTGCTCCCAGGTCTATCAGGATGAGAAAATTCCCACCTAGTAAATTTTTAGTGAAAGTGGTTGTCTGCTCTCAAACCCTGTCTCCTGATAAGATGTTATCAATGACAATGCATGCCTGAAACTTCAATAGCAATTTTAATTTCACCCTGGTCCTGTGATCTCACCCTGCCTCCATTTGCCTTGTAATATTTGATTACCTTGTGAAGCATTTGATCTCTGAGACGCATATCCTATTCGTACACTCCCTCCCCTTTGAAAATCACTAATAAAAACTTGCTGGTTTTGCAGCTTAGGGGGCATCACAGAACCTGCCGACATGTGATGTGTCTCCCAGACACACAGCTTTAAAATTTCTCTCTTTGCACTCTTTCCCTTTATTTCTCAGACTGGCCGACACTTAAGGAAAATAGAAAAGAACCCACGTTGAAATATCGGGGGCCAGGTTCCCCTGATAGACTTCCATCAGCAGTTGCTCTAATCCTGGTCCACAGAAAGGTGACAGAGCATCCAGATGTGCCCCCTGAACAATCCCTGCTGCCCAACAGCACTGACACCACGGGGTCCTCACCCCGTCTCCATCCATGCCTGGGTGTGAGCCCTTCCCAGGCCCATGCCCAGTGCCGCCTCTTCCCAAGTTCATGTCACTGGGTCACAAGAGATAAAATCTAAGCGCGATGAGAGGGACTGAGGGAAGGCATGGGTGAATGCGAGCAAACTTGTCAGGCAGGACGCTTCAGACTCAGAGAAGATTCCCAACTCCAAGGCCCAGCAGCATTTCTGAAGGGAAGGAGACAGAACAATCCACCAAGAATATCATCTCACCTGAGAAAGAGCCATCCCTGACTCCTTTGCTTTCCTCTTCCTCTTCTGGGTTTCTTCCTCAGGTATCAAGAGTGTTTAGAAGTCAATCCTGAAAGTTAAAAATACGTTGTTTATTGCTCAGAATCAACACATCCCCCTCCCTGTAACACAATGAAACATACAAAGGAGACCTCACCCTGAGGAAATGTGGTCCCCTCTACTGCCCACTGCAGAAGGGACAATAAACTCCTATAGGAAAACTCCCACTTCTCTCCTGGAGGAGCCCACACACACGCTCCTGCAGTGGGGAGCTGGGCTGGAATGAGCTCCCCTTCAGGGTACAGACCCAGCCCTGACCAATCCTCAGCCCAGACCCTGAGGACCACTTGGGCTCAGGAGTCCAAGACCAGTCTGGCCAACACGGTGATATCCTGTCTCTACTAAAAATAGAAAAACTCAGCAGGCATGGTGGCTCATGTCTGTAGTACTAGCACTCTGGAAGGCCGAGGAGGGTGGATTACTTAAGGTCAGAAGTTCAAGACCAGCCTGGCCAACATGGTGAAACCCCATCTCTACTAAATATAAAAAAAGTAAGTGGGCTTGGTGGGTGTCTGTAATCCCAGCTACTCAGAAGGCAGAGGCAGGAGAATCGCTTGAACCCAGGAGGTGGCAGTTGCACTGAACCAAGATCATGCCACTGAACTTCAGCCTAGGTGACAGTGTGAGACTCAAAAATAAAATAAAATAAAATAAAAATAAAACTACAATAATTAGCTGGGTGTGGTGGCACACACCTGCAATCTCAGCTACATGGGTTGCTGAGGCACAAGAATCACTTGAACCCAGGAAACAGAGGTTGCAGTGAGCCAAGATCATCAGACTGCACTCACAGCCTGGACAACAGAGACTCTGTCTCAAAAAAAAAACAAAAAAACAAACAAAAAAAAAGTTTCTGATGTGATTGATGCAGAAATAATAAAACCTGAGTAACGTGATAGAGACTGATGGGCAGAGGGAACTTCAGATGGCGGTGGGAGGGCATGGGAGACAGCTCTGAGCCTAGACCTGAACGAGGAGAAAAGGGACAATGCTGTGATCATTTAGGGACATAGGGTAAGAGCAGGGACAGTGACCAGAGACAGGAAGGGTTTTGACATTTGGGAAAAGAGAAAAGCAAATGTGACTGGGGCAGAGGGAGTCAGGAGAGGAGGGCAAGCTCCCAGGAGGAGGCTGGACACTGGCAGGGGCCCTGGACACAGGGCTGTGGAGCCACAGTGAGGAGTTGGGCTTTTGTCCTGGGGAACACGGGAAGCCGGTGGAGGGTTCCCTGCCAGGGACTGACATGACCTGCTTTAGATTTCGCTGTGATATCCTCATACAGAGAAAGGCCCCGAAGATGGTCTCTGTGTCTGAGTCTACACCTCTGTTTCTTCCATTCCTGTGTTTTTTTTCTATTTTTTTTTATTTGGGGTACTGCATCCCATTTAAATTTCTACAACTGGTCACTCCCCTGTCTAGGAAGAAAAACCACACCCAGACACACACTCTATTTTGCCAATCATTTCAGGGGTCTGGGTCACTAACGTTGAGCTTTTCTGGTCTAGCCCGTCATCTCCAAGTTGCAGGGAGGCTCACTGGGGCTCTGAGAAAGAGATATTTTCACCAAGTTACCCTGAGAAGGTCTGAGATGAGTGA